GCGGCGTATGGAAGAACCATACTCGAGAGGCAGCTAGCTTACTGTGTTGCCCTTCCAAGGAAATACCTTGGTAGGTGTGAGTTTGGAGGGGTAGAGAGAAGGCAGGATTCAGGTGCACCCTGCTGATTCTGTGGAAGCATTTTTTGGAATTTCCCCCATCCTTGGAATTGCCTTGGAAGCCCATTCCTGAACATCCTGTGGGAGTTAAGCCCGACTTCTTCATGCCCATAACTCATGGCTATATTCTCGGAATCACACACTTTTGGAATTAGAAAAGATCTTAGAGATCAGCTAGGTTCAAATAATTATGCAATCCACCAAATATCTGAACTCCTCCAAACTCAGTGTGTTTAAAGATGTTTGTCACTAGGACACTGCAGCTGTGCTGACAAGAGGTTACCAGATGCCATTTCATCGTCAAGGATTTAGAAGAGTATCTCATGCAAAGGAAAAATCAGAGTTGTGATCACTGGGGCGCCTGGCCGGCTCAGTCGGTAGAGCATAATGACTCTTGACCTCGGTCGGGGCGTCGTGAGTTTGAGCCCCGTGTTTGGTGTAGAGTTTACTTAAAGAAACAACCAAATAAATAAATGAGCCACAGCTCGCTGTGCCAGGTGCAACTGGGGGTTAGGAGGGAATGAATACTACCCATAGCAGTTCGTAACGATGTAAAACAGATGAAAACAACCTTGAGTATGATTCGGCCGCAGAACTGAAAGACAGGGGTGGGGGGCTTGGAGGGGGTGTGAGACGGTGCAAGCTGACTCTGAGATCTTCAGATCTACTGCTGGCTGCCATCTCAGCATGTCTTTTTGCAAAAAGGTTCACAGCTCGGTTGCTTGGCCAAGAAAAGGAAAAACCCTTGTTTCCTTTATACAGCCTCTCTCTCTCCTGGTGACACATCCTGTATTCATTTGCCCGAGATGGTCCACTTGAGTAAAAGTAAACCAAAGGAAAGCCATTTGGAAAACAAATCACCCGGCCGTCTCCGTATTCCCTTTTCATAAACACCAGAACCATCTTCTCCTAAACAAAACACGCAACAGTTGCCACAGGATGTTTGATGGAGGAAGGGACAGGTTCAGTTTTCCCGGGGAATCTCACTTTGTTCCTGTTGGACTGTAATGCAGGGAAGTGTCGGGAGGGAGGAGTTGCCTTTTCCTGGTCTGTTTTTCTCCTACCGGGGGACTTCCGCGGGAGCTTCCCACCCTCACCCTCTTCCCGGCCTCTCGTTCCCACTCTTGGCATGGGGTGGGGGTGGGGATGAATTCTCTCACAGAAATCTGCTGTCTGACACCCTCCCACCTGCACAGAGTGGACAACCTCGGGGGCACAGGCTTGATCCTTCAGGGAGCCTGCCGTCAGCCAGCTGAGCCAGACCGTCTGGGTGACACTGGGCAAGTGTCTTTAAGAGCCAGCCCTTTTGGCCCCGGAAATAAAGCTCACATCCTTCAATCAGATGGTCGGCAATAAAGCTGACATCCTGAGCTCCCGGGGTCTGGTCCCCAGTGTCAATTGGGTTTGAATTCAGGAGGGGAGGAAGAGCATCTTGTTAGTTTCTTCTTAAGACCCCGACAATAGGACCTGGGTGAGAATGATTTAAATAACCATGTGAGAACACCAGCCCATTCACACCACATTCCACAACTAAAGGATCAAAGGCCGGTCAGACCTACCTTTCTGGTGCCCAGATACTGGTCGCCTAAAAGGGGAGAATGCCAGGCTGAATACAGGGATGCTATTAATTATCCAATAATGGTAAAAGAAAGCAACTCTGTCCTTTCAGGAGCAGGGAGGGTGCTCGCTGGTTTCAGGTACTGGCCCTGACGTTAGCTCGGGTGAGTCAGGCCACCTTCCTGAACCTGTTCAGCTCTGAGCGTCTCAAAGGTTCTGGTGACAAAACCAGGTATCTAAGGAAGGCCCGTAGTGTTTGTTGTGGTCGTTAATAAGTGACTGATGAGAGAGAACCCTGTGAAAACAAGGCAGAACAGGCGAGCCCCTAAACCGGGGCTTTCAGGTGGTAAATGCTAATATGCATTTATTCTATGGATTCCTTACAGAATGAGCCATCATTGCCTACAGGGGTCCCTAAGGAATTGAGTTTAATGAAATGATAGGAATGACTGCAATTAGAATATAATTGTGTGTACGGAAATACGCTTAGGGGAGCTTTGATAGAGTTTACGGTTGCCACATTCACCCAGAATTTTGGCCTGCGTTATTAATTTGCCCTACTATGAAGAAAAGGTTTGTTAATCAAAGATAAACTATTCCGCTGATATCGAATTAGGGAACTCCAGATCCTGTAATGAGGCAGTGCTTCGCACATACACAACTCTCTGCTAAGCGAAAGCTTTCTGGCTGGCCACATAGGAGGTCTCCTTATTGAAAGATTTATTTTTAATTTTGAACAGCTTCCCAGCATTACCCTTCATGAAAATTAAAAGAGGGAGCTGGAAGTTTGTCCTGTTCAGCAAACCGCCCGGCGGGTCTCCTCACCACGGCAGAGAAAACCTCACCGTGTCAGAGGAATCCCCCGTCCCCCGCCTTCTGCTAGATCGAAAAGAATTACACCTACATTTTTTTTTTTCAACGTTTATTTATTTTTGGGACAGAGAGAGACAGAGCATGAACGGGCGAGGGGCAGAGAGAGAGGGAGACACAGAATCGGAAACAGGCTCCAGGCTCTGAGCCATCAGCCCAGAGCCCGACGCGGGGCTCGAACTCACGGACCGTGAGATCGTGACCTGGCTGAAGTCGGACGCTTAACCGACTGCGCCACCCAGGCGCCCCATACCTACATTTTTAATAAAACTTAGACTTTCTTCCCCTCCCTCTCTCGTATTGTTTTTGCACGTTTTCTTCTTTCGGAGGCTTTTTAGCCTGCCTTCTTTGCACTCCTTGGGCCTTTTGGCCTGGTAGGAGCTGACATAATCCCTTGGCCCGCATTCTTACGTATACAAAATCTGTGGGAGCCAAGCCTGTCCTCAGCATGTCTCCCAATGGCTATTCTCGGCCAAAGAGAATGACTTCACCTTGTACAGCTAAGGCCTCAAAAAGTCCCTTCCTACTTTTAAATCAGTTAAGAACACAAAGTAGCGATGTGTCTGAGGATACGCCACGGCCGAACATAAGAATACTGATTGAATCATAAACCAGATTCCCCAGCGGGCGCAGAGAGGCTGGCCCCGTCTAACTCAGAGACAGCAGTAGCACCAGTATGTTCCCCGGGATCCACGGGCAATATTTCCAAAAAAGAACCAATAAAAAGCTGGCAAAGACAGAGTACTTGCGATGCTATCAAAACCTCCTAAATCACACCAGTCTTTGTAGAAAAGTAAAGCCGATCACCGCTAACCGTGTTCAACACCCGAAAGCGCAGAAATAAAAGACCAGAGCAAAAGCAGATGATCTGTTCACACCACGTATTTTACAAGACGGGTCACATCTGTACACTTGAAGCTACTTTCTGGTAAGATTCGCCATTCGAGCCCCAGTTTAAAACCCCCACCCGAGTCGTAACTTTGTATTTATTCTAGAGAGTTCAGGGCAAGGGGAAAAATAATGGCTTTGGGGTGGGACGCTGGAATACTTTTCACTACAGGATCAATTAATACAGATATATTTTACTTAACTATTGAGTGCACTTACTGAAACATTCATTTGAGAGGGAAGTACAGTAAGAGGTGATAGGACTGCTTGGCAATTTACAATCCTTTTCGGGCGAAGTTTGTTGTTCTTAAGGGCCTCATGAAAGGATAAGCTATCGCTCTTTTTTTTTTTTTTTTTTCCCTATTCCCCTTTAACTCGCCAGAAATAAATAACAGGGAGCCAGCAATGTGAAGCAGGTGGCAGAGACCCAGGCTGGAAAATTAGCTGGAGAAAGCGTGAAAACGTTTGCAAGGGATGAGCGGGAACCAGTGGGTCAGGAGCTGCAATTTACAAACCCAGATTCGGCTTTGCTCTTTGAAACATTTTATAGATAGTCAAGACGTCGTAACAGTTCTGCAATGAACTCAGCATAAACTCTTCATGAACAGAGAATGTCTTCAAGTCGGCTGAATTAGAAGAGGAAAGTGATGCGGAAAATGGGGTAAATGCACTCTCCCCCCACGTGTCAATTATGGATTCACCTAGCAAAGGGGCTGCAAACCTACTATGTGTTTTGAGGAAAATTCTGCCAAACTGCACAGAGAGAGCTGCCCATTAATCTCTTCACCATCCACAGATTTGCCTGATGACTCGAGGGGAGGCAGGTATACATTTTTTTTTTTTAATTCAAACAAGATCAAAACATAGCCACTGATGCTTTTGTTGGAAAAGACAGCACATGCCAATATGGTGCTCTGCATTGGTAAAAAGAATTTTATAAGCCAAAATAATCTGTTAAATGCTCTGATGTCCAACCATGGGCCTTGTGATCAAAATGGCTGATATGAATCCCTGACAAGAGAAGTCCAGCATGGAGTGACCCATCTCACCGAGTGTCATCATCCCCTTTCAATCAGACAGCGTCTTTTAATCTCATGTGATCGTCACCACTTAGCACAGGGCATGCTATGCAGTTGGGTGTCCAAAACAGTATTGGTGAACAAATGATCATTCTTCTAAGAATCTTTTGTATTACAAGGCAGCTCGCAGGATTATAATCAGATCCATGGGGTTCCACTTTAATTGTAGAAGTAAGTCTAAGTTAATTCATGGATACCTACATAAGCCCTTTATCTCTGTACATTTATTTTTTAAACTTTTGAAATTTTTTTTTTATTTTTGACAGAGAGGGAGAGAGAGAGAATGGGGGGCGGGCAGAGAGAGAGGGAGACACAGAATCTGAAGCAGACTCCAGGCTCTGAGGTGTCAGCACACAGCCCAATGAGGGGCTCAAACCCACGGACTATGATATCACAACCCGAGCCAAAGTCAGACACTCAACCGACTGAGCCAGCCGAGCGCCCCCTCTCTCTATTTATATCATACAATAAAGTAGATCGGATTCCTACCTGCTTGGTTGGTTGTCACGGTGACAGACACCGACTGGTCCGGGCTGGGGTTATACTTGGACACCCCATTCACGGCCCAGATTTCGAATGTATAATTGGTGTGAGCCAGGAGGTCAGTGATGGAAACTTTGGTGGTCTTCAGGCCATTCTGCTGGGGGGTATAGTGGACCCCACTTCCACAGGGTCGGCACTTGCTGGAATCACCAGCCCCACATCTCTTGCACACCACGTTGTAGGAGATGTCCTGGCGACCACCTGTGTTCTGAGGGCTGCTCCATTCCAAGTTCACGGACGTCTCATTGACGTTTGAGATCAAGTTGAGGGGAGCAGATGGTGGGCCTGGAGAAGGAAAAAAAACACACACACACACACATACATTATCACACCAAGAACTTAAACTATCCTTTTGGAATCTCTCCAAGTTTCTATTATTCTCTGCAGTGATGGGAAGCAAGGTGGGCCCATGTGGAAAAGAAAGCAGAAAGCCAATCAAGCCAGCGAGGAAAAAAAAAAAAAATCTTTTAAAAAAAGCACACCGTGAAAGAAGGCTGCTACATCGGTAACACTGACTGCTATCCTGAGACGGCGTGCATCTCGACATCAACATCAAACACGTTCCAAGTCCAGGCTTCTCTTTGAAGCGGCAGAAAAAGAAGATAGAACTTATCTGGTTTTTATCTCACCATCTGCAAACAGGCACATATGAGCGTGATTCAAGTTCCCAGGGCTAGTGTGGGACCCTGGTAGAGTAAGAGTTATGTGCCACTTCTGAAGATAAATCGGGATTCCTAAGTACAGCGCGTCCTCAATGCGGAATAAAATTAACCGAATCGTATAGACACGCCTCTTCAGCTCCGCACGGCAGTTGGGAGTTAAGCTCGTCATAGGTAATTAGTAGGAACTCGCGTAACCTGGTTGCAGCGATGTCAAAGGTAGAGTCGTTGGGAGATCCCAGCTTGGGGCAGGGATCGTGCAAAGGCTCTCAGGCCCCACGTCCTGCCCTTCAGCTAGCCAAGGCTGGACCAGGCCCTTTTGAGCTTACTCATTCCCGCTGACATCAAAGAGTTTGTGAAACATGAACGGTGGTGGTGGCTGTTTGGAAACAGAACAACTGACCGCAAACAACATAGTGGTTGGTTTTAAAGATAGCAATAAAAAAAAAAATAATAATAATAATAATAAGACTAGAGAGCCATGACGAACCCCCTTGTTTCTTGCCGGAGATTAGTCTTTACGTGCCAAAGAGTTGCAACGCAAACTGCCTTCAAGGAGAAGAATCTGGGTGGGAGAAGGGAGGGGATATTCCTGGACTGAGCCAGTACCAAAGGCTGGAAAGATATCTGCCCCACTCTGATGCCAAATACCTCCTCAAAGGGACATGTGGAAAGTCCTCTCTTCCTTTCTCTTCCCCATTTTGGTCTTCCAAGAAAAGAACCAGAGTGAGTTTTAATGGAAATTTCAGGTTTCTGGCTCACTCTATCTATTCTTTTTTTTTTTTTTTCAACGTTTATTTTTATTTTGGGGACAGAGAGAGACAGAGCATGAACGGGGGAGGGGCAGAGAGAGAGGGAGACACAGAATCGGAAGCAGGCTCCAGGCTCCGAGCCACCAGCCCAGAGCCTGACGCGGGGCTCGAACTCACGGACCGCGAGATCGTGACCTGGCTGAAGTCGGACGCTTAACCGACTGCACCACCCAGGCGCCCCACACTCTATCTATTCTAATGTATTTGCACTGAACTGCTTTAAGGGGAATGTGAACATGTTCCTCAGGAAAAGGAAGGAGGCCTGTGTGAACTGGGAAGAAGCTTTATCTAGTCAACCACAATGGACTGCGTTGTTCCAAAGTAGCCACGGGGACAAAATCGAACGAGGCAACCTACTAATAAGGAGTCATACCCAATATTTATTACTCAGCTCATGCTGTTGGACTGCTAAAGGATCTTGATGGTAATGCTGAAAAAGGGTTAATCCAGGGCTTCCTGATCTCCCCTCGAGACTAATTATCAACAGCCTCTCTTAATTTTGAGATCTAGGCCCCGTCCAGTGTCGTAAAATTTGTTCTTAAAAGTAAGAGTACCCCCACAGAAGTCTGCAGAAAGAAAATACGAATTTTTTTCTTGCTGAGGTTTCATATTTATAGCTATGGTCCTTAGCTTAGTGACTGGAATATAATAAAGGTAAGTAAGTGGTTTCTGAATACGTGAACAGTTATTTAAAATCATAGTGTCCTGGAGACAGACAGGAAGTTAAAGATGATTTGGCCAAACAAATAACCTCATTTTAAAAAGACGAGGGAGGGGCGCCTGGGTGGCGCAGTCGGTTAAGCGTCCGACTTCAGCCAGGTCACGATCTCGTGGGCCGTGAGTTCGAGCCCCACGTCACGCTCTGGGCTGATGGCTCAGAGCCTGGAGCCTGTTTCCGATTCTGTGTCTCCCTCTCTCTCTCTGCCCCTCCCCCGTTCATGCTCTGTCTCTCTCTTTCCCAAAAATAAAAAAAATGTTAAAAAAAAAAAATTGAATTAAAAAAAAAAAAAAAGACAAGGGAATTGAGATCCAGTAAGTGGACCTGATAATACTGAAATTCCATGCAACTTCATTAGTGACAGAGTCGGACTAAAACCCAAAAGTCCTGATTCCCACTCCGGGGTTATTTGCACTCCGTTATGTGGCTCCCCATAGAGGTGTAATAACAACAAAAGCAGTAGTTTCGGCCAAAGTTTAAGAGGTAAAGGTAAAAAGGGAGGGTGTATCTTCAATCCTGTTCAAATTTTATGGATGCTTGCCACCACGGTGAAATCCACTAGTAGTCTGCAGCTGAAACTTACCGCAGCTCGGTTTATAAAATGGGTCAGCCACTGGCTCTTACTTTGCTATGACTTCCAGGGTTAAATACGAGTGACTCTTAAATCCATTAACCTCCTTGCCAAGGTTCCTGATCCACTTTCACATGGGAAAATGTGACACAATGAATCAAGCAATGCAGAAGCAAAAAGTCAGTAATTAGTATGTAGGACGGGGCATGGCAGTGTCTAAACAGAGAAGAAATGGAGCAGAAAACTAACTGGTCACAGGACTCAGAGATATAACACTGCCCCATGGGAAAGAAAGGAAAACAAAACAAAACAAAAAAAGATGCTGCAGGATTTCAAAATGGAGGGCTGGGCCCCAAACAAGTGGTGGCCTGGAACAGGCTTCTCTGGGCACCGATTCTTAAAGAAGACCCTGCGGTGGATGCTAACGGGAAGACAGAGGACTAGGCAAGTTCAAGTTCAATGATGCCTCCATGAATGGTTTGGTGAATTGCACTGCATATGTTTTGTTTTGCTGCCATAGGGAGTGATGTTATATGGGCTTAAAAATTGGACTATGGTAGAGTTTTATTTTGTGGGTTTTTCTAGGGGGGGGTAGCAGATAGAAAAATGCCCACCCAGTACGATAATCACGGTGTTCTGCAAAGGCCTGGGAAACAGTGCATGCTTTATAAATTAAAATCATAACGGTGGTTGTATTTTGTTTGCAGGATCGTGGTTTTCTTTCTTTCTTTGTTTTTAAACTCATGTCCATTGAAAGATGGTAAGTATATTTCCATTTATAAGGAGGTGCCCTCTTTTCCTCAGAAAGAAAGTATTCTCAAGACAAGAAAGTATACGCTTTAATACAACCCAAAACTCCATCCAGATCCAACAGTAATACCTAATATTGATAGCAGCACCTTAACACAATTACCTGTAGAGATGGCTATAATGAAAAGAAAATAGCATTCTGAGTAACATGGGCTGTCTCAGTAGATACAAGGCATCCAGAAGGAAAAAAAAAAAAAAAAAAAAACGTAACTCAGATCATCTTGTCTTCTGTTTACACGAAGTAGTGTATCTGGATATTTGGGAACCATTAAGTTTCTGACAAGGGATTTTGCCTGTCTCACCAGAAACAGGTCAACTTGCAAGCAAGTCTCCCATTACAAATATGAGATCTGTGGGGCGCCTGGGTGGCGCAGTCGGTTAAGCGTCCGACTTCAGCCAGGTCACGATCTCGCGGTCCGGGAGTTCGAGCCCCGCGTCGGGCTCTGGGCTGATGGCTCAGAGCCTGGAGCCTGTTTCCGATTCTGTGTCTCTCTCTCTGCCCCTCCCCCGTTCATGCTCTGTCTCTCTCTGTCCCAAAAATAAATAAACGTTGAAAAAAAAATTCTTTAAAAAAAACAAATATGAGATCTGTAACAAAACACGGTAATCATACTCTTTGTTTAAATTTTCTAGTCTCCCTATGGAGATCGCACCTACTAAGTACCTAGCCTCAGGTAGCTTATAGGTCATTATACGTTACAGGGTCTTGTCCTTTTATCCTTTCCAAAACTACCCACTACTAGCCCTTAGGTCAGCAATCCTACTTATGGCATCGTCCCACCGTACAGGTCACATTTATTTCTCTAACTTTGGACCATGTGACGGGGTCTTGCTGTTCAGACATACGCTGCGTTATCTGTTTCTGTCACCGGTCTATGTACTCCCCAAGAGAGCTGATGTCGTCATCATTTCCCAGTGTCTACCCTGATTCCCACTTCAGAATAAGCACAGTAAACGTTTGAGGAGTTGACAAATGAATGAATGGCTGGATGGCAAACTAACAAAGTCCTGCAATGCACCTGAGGCCCCCTACCTACAGAGTGTGAATTCATACAGCCCTCCCTGAGCTAAAGCTGGGAGTCAGTTCTTACAGACTCATTAGCATTAAGCCCTGGAGAGGGGTATCTCAATATACCTCGTTTAATTCAAGTCCCCCTGTTCTACACTTTAAGAATACTTTGCAAAAAGGAAGTAGGGCTGTACATCATATCTTAGTGATCACTTCCGTTGGGAGGGACTGTGGACTCATTCACATGCTTATTGTTTGTTGCCTGCTCTAGAAGACAAAGGGAAAGACAAATCAGACTCATTTTGATGCTTGCCTGGATACCTGAAGAAGGAAAGGGCAGGAAATCAGGGGGAAGGAAAAGACTAAAGGAAGCTAAATATGGATGATGTGAGCAGGAGGAGGTATAGTGCAGGCCCTGGACTCATTCTCATTTTTTATATCTCCATTACCAGCCCAGCATGGCTGGGAGCTTAAAATGTGGACTCCATGGGGTGCCTGGCTGGCCCGGTAGATCATGCAACTCTTGATCTCAGGGGTTGTAAGTTCGAACCCCACGTTGAGTGTAGAGATCACTTAAAAACAAAATCTTAAAAAGATAAATTAAAAAAAAAAATATGTGAGCTCCCTCAATCAAAGTTTTGTTAATTTAGGACTGGTTATTACGGCTTTCTTTCTCCATCTGGGTTCCAGCCGATGGTTTTATTTG